TCACGTCTCTCTCTGGCCACAGCCGGGCCTGGCTCTCCATTTTTCCAGACTTATGTAATTAGATGGGCCTCTACCTGGATAATGAAGGATAACCTTTCCATTTTAAGGTTCTTAAACTCCATTGGTCTGCAAAGTCCCTTTTGCCACAGAAGGTAACATTCACTGGTTCCAGGAGTTTGGGCATGGATAACTTTGGGGAGACCATTATTCTGTCTACCCACAACCACCATCCTGTTTTCCAAATGAGAGTAAGGTTTGGAGATGTTAGAGAGGCCACTGGATTTACCGACAGCTACCCCAAAAATAAGGTCAGAGCTGACTTTGAATGTAGCTTTCTCTGATTCTCTATTGCTGTTAGCCACTTTGCTACATGCAGTTGTGGGCTTTCAGGCCTTAATTTTACCTATTAAAGGGATTCCCTAGATTTAAGGGTTTTATAAGCATTTCTGTGTGATGTTTCTATAACAGGTTTTCTGTTGGGGGGTTCTGATGTTTCATAGTTAAAGTGACTTGTCCTGAGGTAGGGGAAAGTGGGTGACAATGTTTAGAGTTTTTTTATACTTGGGCTATTGTAGGTGTTATCCAAATTCTGCCTGTCTTTTCTCATAGAGACTTGATAGATGAATGGGACAGAAGAGAGATTAATAATTATTGCAAGGAAAAAATAAACTTTCAAAGTGATCTACTTTGTGGACAGCAGTGAAGATTCCATCTGTTAAATTAGAATTTGAGTAACATTTCACAAATTTAAAAGAGTTTTCCTTTACTTTTTGAAGGGCATGATAGAGATTTTTAATATGCAGTGCTTTTTTGTGAAGGTTCCCCTGTGATTTTTTTTTTTTTTTTTTTTTGCGCTGTGTTACTATATGTATTCTTTTAGAGTAGATTTTCTAAAATTATATATCTTTCTCAATTTAACACAAAATTATTTCATCTGGGGACCTGGCACTTAAAGTTTGGTTTAAAAGAAAGCTGTAGAATTGTATGTTATTGGCACCAATTGTGATTCTATAATGTTTTCTAAAAATGCTGGAGATAATTATTGAAACTAATATATATGTATAAGCTCTTCCATCATGTGTGGCATTTAAAGACTTGTTCTTTGTAATTTTCAATCTCCATTTTCAGTTTGCAGAAAGGACTCGATTCTTGAGAGAACAAACACATCATTGTGAAAAGTTAATAACAAAACATGAATTTCATTTGCTTCCAATTAAGTACCAAAATGTCAAAACTTAATATCTTGAAAATGCATATTAAGCCACACACCTTATGAAAAGTATGATGATATGAAAATCAAGTGTAGCAATCCAAAATCCTCATGCAGAGCTTGAAATGAGTATTTTTACTTTTTTGGGGCTACAAAGGTACCTTGACTTTTAGTTTCATTGTTCAAACTGAAACTAAAATTGCATGTTACTAGAAAGATGGGCATTATACTTGAACTGGGTTGTCAGACTAGGGACCATGGGCTGAATTTGGCCTGTTTATTTTATAAATAAAGTTTTATTTAAATGTAGTCACAGTCATTTGTTTTTGTATTGTCTACTGGTACTCGTTCATACTATAATTGGTGAGTAGAGTTGTTATGAAAGAGACAGTATGGACCACAGCTCCAAAAATATTTACTGTCTTATTCTTTTCAGGAAAAATTGGCCAATTGACCCCTAATCTAGTGGCATGTCTGTGCCTCCTCTAGTACAGGCAGACACCTGCCAGTCACTGTCAGATAAACAAACTGATTTTACTATATATGGATAATTTGGTGTATACATATGCATACCTTTCCATTTTTTTGTAAATATTAAGGACTTCTTTTCCCATTTATGTTGTTCATTATAAGGTTGAGTAGCCCAATTATTCATCCTACTGTGATTTCTTCATACCAGTTACGCTGGTACGGTATGAACCCTGCTATGGTTCTTCCAGATTGTTTAATCAGCTGATTCTATCTATACATCAGCAGATTTCTGAGCTTCCTGTCTGTCTTTGTGACTGTACAATGATTTTCTTTGTTGTGTCGTAAATGGATCGATGATATATAAATGTTCATGGAAATGGCATTTGTTCAAAATGACAAAGCCATTTATAAAAGGAGGACTGTAATTATGAGTCCTACTCATATTCTGTATATTCACATTTCTGTTTTTTACCTGAGACAACTATTGACCTTGAAAAAGCTTGAACTGGAGGCAGGGGAGGGGTTTGTTTTGGTTCCAGTCATGGTTCTTTTCTTGGAAGGCTAAGCTGAGTTGCTAGGTGTGGGATTGAAGGGTGACTCTCCAAGGTGACAGCCATTGTGGATCCTTAAAAGTTTTTTACTCTTTGGGGTATATTTTCTATTTTATTTATTTTTTTGAGATGGAGTCTTGCTCTGTTTCCCAGGCTGGAGTACAGTGGCAGGATCTTGGCTCACTGCAACCTCCGCCTTCTGGGTTCAAGCAGTTCTCCTGCCTCAGTCTCCTGAGTAGCTGGGATTACAGATGTGTGCCACCACACCTGGCTAATTTTTTATGTTTTTGGTAGAGACTGGATTTCATCATGTTGGCTAGGCTGGTCTTGAACTCCTGACCTCAAGTGATCTACCCGCTTCAGCCTCCCAAAGTGCTGGGATTATAGCCGTGAGCCACGGTGCTTCCCTACTCTTTGGGACTTATAAGAAGAAGTATATTAGCATCCTAAGAACTGTATTAGTTATAAGAAGACATAGAGTTATTTTTTTATTTTTATAGCTTTTTAAAATATAACATTTAAAACTTAATTTGAAATAATTTTATACTTCAGAAAAGTTGGTTTTATGGAAAGAGTATTTCCATATACGCTTCATCTATCCCTAATGTTAACATTTTACATAATCATAGAACAATTATCAAAAGTAAGAAACTCACACTGAGTCAGTACTGTCAACTAATCAGAGCTCATTAGAATTGTGCCTATTTTTTCACTAATGCCCTTTTTCTATCCTCCCACTGCATGTAGTTCTCATTCTTTCTCAGACTCCTCCAGTTTGCACAATTTCCTTATTCTCCTCATTCTTTTACTTTCATGACCCTTGATACTTTTGGAGAGCCTTATTTGTGTTTCAGAATATCCCTCAATTTGTGTTTGTCTGATGTTTCCTCACGATTAGATGGAAGTTATACATTTTTGGCAAGAGTACCACAAAAGTAATGTTATATACTTCCCAGTGCATTTTATCAGATGGTACGTGGTATTGCTACATCTTACTATGAATGATGTTAACCTGGGTACAGCAGTGGCTGCCAAGTTTCTCCACTTCAACGATATTGCTGTTTTGCTTTTTAGTCAAAATGACTCTTCTGGGGAGACATTCTGAGCTATGCAAATATGCCATTTATCATCATATTCACACCCATTAATGTTAGCATCCATTAGTAGATTTTACCTGAACAGTTTTTACTGTGGGATTACCTAATGATGATTTCTGTTGCCATCATTCCTTCTGTGTATTATTTGGAATGCTATAGCAGAGAACAGCTGTTTATTCTCTACCATTTATTTGTTCAAATATTTATATTATGGACACATGGATTTTAGTTTATTCTTTGGATAATGATCCAATGCCAGTATGATTTCTTTAGTTTGTAAGTTGTCCCAGCTTTGTCCATTGGGAGCCCCTTCAGGTTGATACCTGCTTCCCTTTGATGTGCCTTCATCATTTTTGAGTACCCCTTACTTTTTGACATCACAAGGTATTCCAGGCTTACCATGTGTTTCCCTGACCACAGCCTTGAAATCAACCGTTTGTCAAGGAGCCCTTGTTCATTAACTGGAGAATGGTATTAGAAACCATGATCGGGATACTAGGTGTGCTCAGTGGCACTGGGGATGCCACTGTTTCTAGGATCTCTGTGTGGACAGAGCTGGGAACTCTGTATACTCAGACATTCATTAACAGTTGTTGGTATACTTACCCATTTGTCTGTGTGTTTACCTAACTATGTACTTATAAAAACTGTGAGTTTGGCCGGGAGCAGTGGCTCATGCCTGTAATCCTAACACTTTGGGAGGCTGAGATGGGCAGATCGGTTGAGGTCAGAAGTTTGAGACTGGCCTGGCCAATATGTTGAAACCCTGTCTCTACCAAAAATACAAAAATTATCCAGGTGTGGTGGCATACGCCTGTAATCCCAGCTACTTGGGAGGCTGAGGCAGAAGAATCACTTGAACCCAGGAAGTGGCGGTTGCAGTGAGCCAAAATCATGCGGTTGCATTCCAGCCTGGGCGCCTCAGCGAGTCTCCATCTCAAAACAAAACAAACAAACAAAAACTGAGCTCATACTGATGTCCTGGATTCCATTCTGAACACCAGTTTATTCTAGCTTTTTCTTCTCTGTAACTTCTGTTTCTGTGAAAACATCTGCTTTCATTATCAAAAATATTTGCACTCTTTTGTTCATTCTTGGTGTGTGTTTGTGTGTGTGTGGGTGTAATAGAGAATTGCTAAAGAGAAACAAATTTACTAACTAGAATAAATATTTGTACAACAGTTTGTCTTTAGCGTGTGTCTTATGCACAAATGAGAAGATACATGTTTAGTTTTTAATATCCCCTTTTTATGTGAATAGTAGTTCATACCATGTGTGTATACACATATACACACACACACAGATATATGTGTATACTCATATATATATACACACACACTCTTCTGCATTTTTCTTTTCCATTTAAATATATATCCTATATTTTAAAGATTTGTGTCTGTCCCTGACTCAGCATGCTGTGATAGCAAAGAATTTTATTATTTTTTACCCATAGACTTTTGAATATGAAATGTACGACTTAGAATTATACAAGTAAAGCATCAAAATTTAGGGAAAGACTGTTTCTTTGAGGTTTTTCTTCCTAAAACTTACCATTCTAGGGTCATTTATATCAGTAGTTTTGCACTATAGAATTATGTCGAAATAGTACAAAATTTTGATAGTAAATTAAGTGCCTTTATTTTTAAGTGCACATTTACCTTTCATTTCTAGCTGGTAGCAGTGTTTGATGAGCAGGATCCACATCATGGAGGTGATGGCACCAGTGCCAGTTCAACGGGTACCCAGAGCCCAGAGATATTTGGTAGTGAGCTTGGTACCAACAGTGTCTCAGCCTTTCATCCTTACCAAGCAACAAGTGAAATTGAGGTCACACCTTCAGTCCTTCGAGCAAGTAAGTGAAAGCTCTTTCTTCTCTTCACATTTCATCTTAATTTACGGGAATACCAACTTTTGTTATTCATCCATGCCCCTGTAAATGGAATTATATATATATTTTTTTTTCCCAAAAATTAAGTTTAGGACCCAGGCAAATGTCCTTTGCACGAGAAGTAGGCAGTTCTTTACATTGTAATAGATTAGGCTTACTTTACTTACGACTAGTAGACTTTCCGTGACTCACTAACTGTAAATAAGGACAATAGTTCAAGTTAAATTATTTGGATTTTCCTTTCCATATATTTATCTGAATGCTAGAACAAGTAGAAGTGACCAAAGAGCTTTGCATTGAAACAAAACATGGCATCATTCATTATAGTCAACTCTGTTACAACCATCATTTATATTATTTGAACTTTATCTGAAGAGCTGGGGAAGAAGAGACCTCCCTGTCAAAGTTATCTTCAGAGATTTGGGAGAGCAGAATACCTCTTTAGGGAAGGGGAATATGGACATAGTGAGTCCTATATGAGGAATCCTAGGACCCTTGGTATTCCAGATCTAGGATACTTGCCTGAAGAGTTCTGTTAGCCATTCTTGGAAGGTGCTCATAAAAGTCAGGTATTTTTACTACAAGTATTTAGTGTTTTTAGTTGTATAATCTTGTAATTGAGCAGTTGTTAAGAGTTAGAAGATCACTTTCAATAAATGTATAAGCTTAAAAGATTTTTTGTCTAGGCGAGGTGGCTTATGCCTATAATCCCAGCACTTTGGGAGGCCGAGGTGGGTGGATCACCTGAGGTCAGGAGTTTGAGACCAGCCTGGCCAACATGGTGAAATCCTGTCTCTACTAAAAATACAAAAATTAGCCAGGCATGGTGGCGGATGCCTGTAATCCCAGCTACTTGGGAGACTGAGACAAGAGAATTGCTTGAACGATTGGAGGATGGAGGTGGAGGTTGCAGTGAACTGAGATTGTGCCACTGCACTCCAGCCTGGGCAACAGAGTGAGGGGAAAAAAAAGGATTATTTATTTTTTAGGTACATCTATTTGGAAACACTTCAGTTTTTTCAGGTAGAAAATTTGGGTCTTACGTGTATTAAGTGATTGGTAGTCTTCAGTAGATCTTTATAAATAGATGAGTAATAATATATGTTAATTATATATATATTTAGGATATAGAATATCGGTAGATAATATTTAGAATGTATAATTTATTCTTCTAAAAATTCATCCTAATTCCCGTTTTTTGCATTGATAGCAATCTGTAGTAATTTGACAGTTTGCTTCTAGATGTTTACAAACTACTTCTGCTTCTGTTGTCCCTTGAAGATATATATAAAGAGAACAAGGAAAGAAGAGCAGTTTAACAGTTAGAGGTCTGTTAGCCCATCAGAACCCACAGGACAAGTGTGCCATACAGAGGTGTAGAGAATTTAGAAGGTATCGTTCAAGATGGGATATGTAAGTGATGCTCTAGAGGATTGCGTGCAGCTGCAGACCAGTGCTATCCACTTACTACAGTTGCTTTCTATCATCCAGACAAGATCGGACTCAGATACAATGACGTGTTTCCAAGGATGCTTGGGGTGGAAGAGAACCTATAAGTTGTTTTAGTTGAATATTTTTTATATGCAAGAGATTTAGGTTTATTTATGCACATATGCAAGAAACTAATTTTGTGAAAATAATTTTGTTTACTAGGATATACTGTTTAAAAAGTCTTACATTGGATTTGCTTTGGGCAGTGTTTTTCAAAAGGTGAGGCATGTACCGTAAAGGGTATACAAAATGATGTGTAGGTGGTACACTAGTTACCCTGGTTGATTTTTTACTAGCTCATTAAACCTACGACTTAGTGGATATCTGCTTGGAATGATCCTGTGTATACAATGTTGACTGCCTAAATTTGACTCTTGGAAAATTTTAATTAAATAGTAGTTCAGGTCTTCAGATACCAGAAGTTTGGAAAATAGTGTCTTTATTTGAGTAATAACACTGTAATGTATGTACTTAAATACAGAACTTTCTGTTGTGTTATTGTTGTAGTGTTGTATCTTTTCTAAAGCAATATGTAGCTTTAATATAGCTGAACCATAAAAATATTAGAACAAAGGTTAATTCCTTTATGTTGATTTATGAATTTGATTGACATACTTTCCATCAGTTTTTACCTTTTGACTGCCCTGGACTCAACAAAATTTCTAACACATAACCATCCACATATGTGTTAAAATTTAAATGGTGTTTTAAACCATTTAAACAAATATCTCTTTTTATCTTGTTTTTATTGAGAAAAAGAAGTTACATTTGAAACATATGTGTTGTCTTGCAGCCACCAGTGGGAGAATATGCAAATCTTATTTTCTTGTTCTCATTTTGGTATGCTAAGGTTTAGATTTTCAGGTCTTGGCAGGCATTGGGTTAAGCATCTACTATACGCAGGTCCATAACTGTGTGAACGTAATGCATCACACATGAGTCACCTGTCAAGGTGATTTTGCATACTGCATTAATGACATTCATTCAGACATGGAACATGAGTTTGTCTGTACTGGCCATGCTTTGTGCTAGGTGGTGAGTCCAGGGTTGAGTTAATAAGGCCTAGCGCTTGCTATCAAGGAGCTATAGTTAGTAGTAAATAGTTAGTAGTATAACTGTTTACAGATATGAAAAGAAAGAAGCCAACAATATGTAGAGATTTGCTTAACTGAAGGATAATCGACACTAATTGGGTACATGACTGATAAAGGCTTTTAGATAAATACATTTCTAATTTTTGCCTTAAAGAAGGAGTGGTCACTTTCCTATGTTTTCCAATGAATGAATTCACTCATCTCCTCTGTTCCATAAAGAATTGGTGGAAATTGAGAAAAATATATAGAGTATGTATTTTTTTTTTTCCCGTAGAAAAATGGATATGAAGTTTGGGTATTAAGATAAAGCCTAGATGGTTTTCATAGATAGAATTCTCATCTTGAGGTCTTTTTATGTTTCCCTAGAAGCTGCCTTTAATTTAGCCTTGAGCTTTTTTTGTAGAAAATACAGAGAGATCGCTGATTTAGTTAAATCATTGCTCCTCAACCACAGGAGTGTTTTTTCTCCAAGGACCATTTATCAGTGTCTGGTGATAGTTTTGGTTGTGACAACTGGTGGAGTTGGGCATTGAGTAGAGGTCAAGGACACTAATACACGCCTTACAAGCACAGGACAGTCCCACATCAGAGAACTCTGCAGCCCAGATGTCAGTAGTGCCATGGTTAGAAATCCTGAATTAAATTTACGTCATTGTTTGTGTAGTCAAAATAGCAGTTAACTTAAAACTTGAGAAATATTTTATTTATTCAGGATATTGTTCAATATCCTGAATAACACCCTTAAGCTAGAAGACAAACATGTGATTACTAGTTAATAAAAATGTAAGAAAAGAGAAAGTTAAGTAAGATAATCCAGGCTGGGCGCGGTGGCTCACGCCTGTAATCCCAGCACTTTGGGATGCCAAGGCAGGCGAATCATGACGTCAGGAGTTTGAGACCAGCCTGGCCAACATGGTGAAACCCCATCTCCACTAAAAATACAAAAAAAATACCTGGGTATGGTGGCACACGCCTGTAGTCCCAGGTATTCGGGAGGCTGAGGCATGGAGAATCTCTTGAACCTGGGAGGTGGAGGTTGCAATGAGCCGAGATCACAGCCTTGCATTCCACCCTGGGCGACAGAATGAGACTCTGGCTCCAAACCTACCTACCTACCTATCTACCTACATACCTATGGTGAAGGGAGAGCATAGGATGGAGAAAGTAAAATAGAAACTAGATGCATACTACTTCCTTCCTTCTGTATATTTGAGGTTGGAACTATATCATCTTTTACATAATTATAAAATGATCAATTTTTAATTTTTACAGTAAACATTTCAAAGGAATATTAATATTCATACATTTAATAAATTTCAATTTTAAAAGGAAAAAATGAATATGAAATATCTGACCTTAAATATATTTTTAGTCGGTAGCCTAAATGTAACAAGAGTAACTATTTCAATTAACTTTAAGCAATTTGTACAAACAAAGGGAGATGTATCCTAAGGAAAAAAAGAACTGCCTAACAACAGGGACCCTGAAACTGTTTGTTGTTGGTATTGTTAATTTTAGAGTTTTGGGTGGGTATTACAGGATGAAAGAGATGAGAAATTATAATACTCTAATTCTGTCATTCCTGGTGTCATTGAGTACCCAGTATTCTTAGTATAGACGAAAAAGTGTACAGATACAAGTTAAAGGAGAATGAACAAAATTTGGATAGTCCTCAGTTTAGATATGTCAAAATTAATTCCTGATATGTTTTAGTTTTTAAAAAAGGAAGAGGGAAGAAAAACTGCCATGTATATTCATAGGAAAGGTCTAGAATCAATGACCAACCCAGTAACTCAGCATTTCTCAATCCAGACTATGCTCTGGAAATAGCATTTTTTCATTTGAGGGGATCAGAGCTTCTTAGAGAAATGCCTGAATGCAAGTCTGTACAGGAAATGTATGGAGTCATCCTGTCATCAGAAAATAGAGCAATTTTGAAAGATTACTTGGGTGGGCCAGAGGGCCTAGGAGGCGACACGATGCTCCTCCTGGCCAAAGACGGGACAGTGGGAGCCTCAATAAAGATAGCAACAGCAATACATGCATGAATGTATAATGATAATGAAACCAGCAAGCAAGGAGAAAGCTACCAGTGAACCATCTTATTATTTGGAAACCTTATAAAGGAAAGCAGCAATAATTCATCTAGTCTATGTTTTCTTGTAGTGTGGTTTCACTGGATATTCAAATACTTGCTTTTTATGTAAGTATTTCAGCTAATAAATGAAGACATAATGATGGCATTGGAATATTGCTATTCTGCAACTTCTGATGAAATAGTGGATCTAGGTACTGATCATTGCTAGGGTCTTGATGTGTCCCCCAAATTTACATGTTGGAAATGTAATCCCTGATACAACAGTGTTGGGAGGTGTAGCC